CCGGTAGCTTAGACAACCCTTCATAGAAACACTGATGTTAGTAGTTGCACCTGAGTCTAACCACCAAGTGTTACTAGGTACTGACGCTAAATTGACTTCAGAACAGACCAAAGTAGGAAACATACTTTTGAGGATTGGAACAGAATTTAAATTGATAGATACAAAAGTAATTATAGTTGAATTTAGAACACGAAAAATAAACTAATTATGCTCATATTATATAAAAAATAAATAATTATAAATATATATTCAAATAATGGTTTAACCCATCTCAAGACACCAAATGCACCATCAATATCAAGTCTTTGGACAATAATATTAACTGCTAAAGATATCTTGTTGTAATAATCAAACATTGACAATAAAACACATCCAACAACAAATCAGTCTTTGAATTGATTTATCATCGACAAAGCAAATCCTTATAATTATCACATGTTTATCATTACAAGTGTGTATGCAATTCGACCAAATATTAATCTTCCTTTGGGCCGACTAATACTCGCATGAATATACACAAACACTAATATTCAATATTTTTCATGAACTGCCCAATTCAAGAGAGGTTACTTTGGTGACTTCTTGACTCAATTTGCTCACAAAAAATACTAAACTACAAAAAATTGAATATTATATTTATATAACAAAACCAAATATTTAATATTTGCAAACTAATTCAAAAGATAATCACCTCATTAGAATTCCACTAAGGATGAACACCTCCCTAGAATTCCATTAGGGATGAACACCTCCTTTGAAAAAATCAAAGGATGAAAAGTGCCTCCTTTTCCACCAACACATAAATGATGAACATCTCCCTAAAATCACACTAGGTATGAAATAGAGATAGATATGACCCTCTTTAACACATTGCTCTAAACCCTAAAAGGGGATTAAACAGTAATCACTTAAACCCTAAACATGGAGTTTAACATCAACTTCCCTTAAATCCTTAGAGGATAAAGACAATAAAATAACAACAATCACACATGTGGAAACATTCACCAGTTACCTAAGATCCTCTGTGTTGGGAACTCCCCAAACACCACCCCTAATTCCAAACACATTCATATCCACCATGAAAAGAAAACGAAAACAAAACCCATAAAATTAAATAAAAACAAAAACAAAAGATTCAAAGAGAATAGAGAACTCAATACAAGAAAGATTGAAATTTGAAACATTATTTTTTTCTCAGTAAAACTTGAAACTTAAACTGAAACAAAAGGGAAAAACGAAGAAGAAGAATCCATAATTTCCTCCACGGTTCCATCAGCGAGCAGAATCAGATTGGAGATGTTACCCCCAAATTTAAATTTTAAGGTTCACGGTACTTGGGATTTTATAAATTAAACAAAATCTGAATTTTTAAATATTTCCTAAGATAGACATGAATCAAGTATGAGCGGCTTTGATACCAATTGTTAGAAAACTAATAATTATAATCTTGATATTGATTCTAACGATTAAATATAAACGTAATCTGATACTGATAAACATGTTGTAAACTAAATGCGAAAGTGTACCTGAATTAGCCATAATGATGATGTCTTTATAGAACACTATATTGATCTTATGGTCTTCCACCCGAAGAACACCTGTATTTCTCTCTTGATTTTCTCTCTTGATGGGGATAAAAAGAAAGGAACGAGAGAGAAACTTATGTTCTGCCTACGTGCTCCCGGAAGGGAACCATGACCCCTTAAAATAATCAGAATTAGGTTAATTATTTAAGTTTTAGTATTTTTAATTTGACCCCTCATCAAATTAGAAATTGCTCTATGGTCTCTACATAATTTTATTTTTATGACATATGTCTTTAGCAAAACTTTTTAATTTAGTCATATCACTTTATTATTTGACATAATAAATAATAGTCCTAAATTATGTATCATATATATACATGAAACAAATTTTGCCAACAACCCGTTGATGCTAAAAGTTTTATTCTTCATCAGACATAAAATCCAGATTTTGTGTAGCAAAGACAAGAAAAGACAATTTCTTCACAAACAACAAATCTTTCATCTTATCTTTCCACAAATGATAATTTGGACAATTCAAATCAACCATATTTGTATTTGCGTCCATCATTCAAGCAAGAACTCTGATGACACTCTAATAGGGAAAAACAACTTAAAATACCTATGAAAGTAATGAGGGGGAGATTGATGGATATGTCCCTACATTCCCAAGAGATAATTTTGATGATGATTCAAGTCAACAACATTCAAGAATCAAGCAAACCCACGATATGATTTTGATAAAAATTTAATTCAAACATTAAGCAAGCCCAAGATGATTCCTGAAGATTAGATAGAGTCTTAGAATACTGAATATGGAGGTACAAGTTGATGAAGTATTATTATACATAAACTTTCAAAGCACAAGTGTGATAAAATTTCGTAACATGATATTTTTTCACTGTCATATTCAATTATGATGCATAAGAAATGGAAAAATGATTTTCTCTGTCATAATTGATTATACATGTAACATAATCAATTATGGTAGTTCAAATTTGAAATATATCTGTTTTGAAGAATAAATGTTTTTGAATATATCCTGATTTTTATCCACAAAAATATTAATATTCAACGACCATTTTCTGATGCTATTTTTCTATTTAATTAAGTTTTTATGGAAAATAAAAAAACACAATTACAGAATTCGAAAATACAATTTACATTCAATCAGTTTTGAAAAAAGAATTTTGAGCAAGACAACATAGATATGTTACATGGTTTGAGAAAACCCTCTTCTTCATTGCCTACTATGTTTTCATTGTTAATCACACTTGTTCTTGGAGGTTAACATTCTACAGGCTTCTACAATTTGTTATCTCCATTACCCAGGTGTGACTATTCTTATTTTATTACTTTCATCCTTTGTGGGTTTAAGAGGTTTAAGTTAATTAATTGTGTTATTCATCCTTTGATTTATTCAGAGGAGGTGTTCATCCCTAGTGTGATTCTAGAGAGGTGTTCATTATTTGTGTATTGGTGGCAAAGGAGGTGCTTTTCATCCCTAGTGTGATTATAAGGAGGTATTCATCCTTAGTGGGATTCTAAGAAGGTGTTTTCATCATTTGATTTATTCAGAGGAGGTGTTCATCCCTAGTGTGATTCTAGGGAGGTGTTTATCCTTTGTGTATTGGTGACAAAGGAGATGTTTTTCATCCCTAGTGTGATTCTAGGGAGGTGTTCATCCTTAGTGAGATTCTAAGGAGGTTCTTTCATCCTTTGATTTGTTCATAGGAGGTTCTTTCATCCTTTGATTTGTTTATAGGAGGTGTTCATCCCTAGTGGGATTCTAGGAAGATGTTCATCCTTAGTAGGTTTCTAAGGAGGTGATTATCTTTTGAATTAATTTGCTTTTTGCTGAGTTGTTTGTAATTTGTGAACTGAATTTAAAAAATAGTGAATTGGGGTCACTCTTGTGTTAAGAGTTGACTGGGAACTGGATGTAGGGTTAGTTATACCCGAACCAGTATAAATCTCTGTGTGATCTTCTCTTCCCTTCTCTATAATATTTCGCTTTATCTATCTGATTATATCGCTTCCACTTTATTTGTGTTCAATTTGATAATTAAAATTAAATTAATAAATTATTAGACATCTTAAAATAAATTTTTATTTGATATCTATTTTAATTTATGCATCTATTTCCCTCCTCTAAATGTTATTTGTCTAACAACCTAAGTATGCAGTGAAAATAATTTTCCTAAACTTACAAGAATCTGCGAGGAACAACAACAAAAATAATCACATCAGAGAACATCAATGTTTTTAGCGTGAGAAAACCCCTCAATACGAGGAGTAAAAATTCACGAGCACAAGCCGCTTAATTAACCTCCACTAATATCAAAAGTGTACAGGAGAGTCAAATCAAAATGCACAAATAAATCCATACAAAGCAGTCAACATCTCAAACTAACAATGCTCTAAAATTTGAAGAATAAAGAAAAAAAACTTAAACACCAATCACAATGCGACACTAATATCTCCAATCACATATTCCCAATTGATGATTCTAACTCTTACGCCACAAATCTGTTGTCAATATTTCATCTTGGAGATCCCAACGGTCAAAACGCGAACTTGCTGTCAATATTTTAGCCTAATCCAACGGTGAACGAAACAAGAATCATATTTTTACTAAGATAACTTTGTAAATAAGCGAAATTGTTTCTTCTTCTTTTTTTCTCTTTGAAAGCTTGTGAAATGTATCTCTCACCTAGAAAAGACTTTTTCACTTAAACTAAGTAAGATAAAATAGACTTAACTAATTTAAACTTGTAGATATAAAGTTGTGACTGTAATCCTATAAGGACTAGATATATAAATAGAATGAGACTTTATTCTTGATTTCACATTAAACACGTTAATAAATTGTTAAAAAATAAATGTGTATCGAATTAGGATAACATGGTTAAAATTTATTTTCATATAAATAAATCTAAAACTTGGTTCTCCTAAAATACTATAAACAATTATATTTTCATATAAATAAGTTTAAAATTTGTTTCTCCTGAAATACTATAAACACTTATAATGATAATGAAAGGATAAGAAAAAAAATTGAGAAGAAGGAAAAAAAAATATGAGTGTTACCAAAAAGTTTGAAAATAATGGATGTGACAAGTAGTATTTTTTTATTCCATCAATTGAGCTCTCAAATAACGTGATGAATTTTTACTAATTTTATACTCGGGGTTGAAGTCACAAAGCACATAGTGGCGGGAAAAGTATGTATTATTCTTTTTCATCTTTTTCTCTTAGTTTAAAGATGATCTTGAATAAACAAATCCTCTAGGTTCCTACACTTATCTCTCAATTACAGCAACACAATGGCATTGATGCTTAAGTGTGACTATTGGCATATGGGAAACGAGCTCAACTATCGCTGTCCCATTGCATTCTGGTTTCTATAAATGGTGACCATGTTCATCAACTCCTCACTCACTACCCTCTTCAATATTCACACAATCAACACCAAAAATGAGAAGAATGATGATATTGGGACTCTGCTTCCTACTGTTCTCCCCATTTCCACTTGCTTTCTCAGAGCGGTGCCACCCACAAGACAAGAAAGCACTGCTCCAACTCAAGAACGATCTCAACAACCCTTACATCCTTGCCTCCTGGAACCCAAAAGAGGATTGCTGCGACTGGTACTGCGTCAGGTGTGACGAAAAAACCAACCGGATTTACGACCTCGACATATCTTCCTCTGTTCCAGACCCTGATGTGTCCGGCCAGATACCACCCTCTGTCGGTGACCTCCCTTACCTGGAGTCCCTCACCTTCCACAAGCTCCCCAACCTCGTCGGTCCAATTCAGTACCTGATTTTCTTGCCCAGCTCACCAACCTGGAGTTGATCAAACTTTCCTTTAACAGCCTCTCCGGCTCCATTCCGAGCTCGCTTTACCAACTACCGAAACTCTCCTCTCTGCAGTTGGACCGCAACGAGCTCACGGGCTCATTCGGATCCTTCAACAAGCCCGGGCCTTATCTGATCCTGTCTCACAACCAGCTTTCGGGCTCCATTCCGGATTCCTTGGGCAACTTAGACCCGGAAAGGATAGACTTTTCAAGGAACAAGCTGGAAGGTGATGCTTCGATGCTTTTCGGGAGCAAGAAAAGGACGCAGACACTTGACCTTTCAAGGAACGCGTTGGAGTTTGATCTATCGCATCTGACGTTTCCCAAGAAGAGCTTGATATGGTTGGATCTCAATCACAACAAGATCTATGGGAGTATTCCTGTGGCGCTTACGACAGTTGAAAATCTGCAGCAATTCAACGTGAGCTATAATCGACTGTGTGGTGAGATACCTCAGGGTGGGCGATTGCAGAGGTTTGATGAGTATTCTTATCTTCACAACAAGTGTTTATGTGGGTCTCCTCTTCCCCCATGCAACTTCAAGGCTGATATCTAAGATCACTTCATCAGATTCTTCTGATGTTTGAGTAAGATACAATAAATCTCTGGTTTCAATAAAACATATGTGCCATATTACAACTTCTATATTCAAATACGGATTTAGGCTTTTATTCTGTGATCTTCCTAATAATAATTAGAAAGACTGATAATATATAGATAATTAAAATTAAAAAATAATTTGACATTTTTTTCATCAATATAATAATAAGAAGAGGAGCTGTAACAAGCAATAGAAGAACAATTTGTGAATGGAAGGAGATTCTACCTCAACCCTATTGGGAAATAACATGATTTTCAACAGAGGTTATGAATGGACCCATTCTGATCCACTACACAGCATCGGGAGGCGATTAACAAATTTTAGGGTACACAAGATCAAATGACTCATTTTAAAATATTTTGAGCTCAAATTTTGATCCATACTATACTTGGTTTAGTAGCATACTAGATGGTTCCATTAAATCATTTGAAGATTTTTTTAAGTTGTTTGGAGTATAATTTGTTGTCAACAAGTTCAACCTCCCAAAATTGATTGACATTTTCAATGTCAAGGAACAAAGTTTAGAATCATGAGATGCTTTTGTGGCATCTCTATTACGATCCTTAGTCAAAAAGGGATGTTTATGAATGCTTTTGTAAAAGAACTTTGTATGTAAGGGACTGAAGTATAGTACTGTTATTTTTAGATCAAATATTGATGTCATAGATAAAAATAAAGTTTTAATTCATTAATTCTTTTTAAATTTTAATTAAAAGATTATGTTTCAAAAAAAGAAAAAAAATATATCTCTAAATCTCATATTATTTAAAAATAAAAAATAAAAATATTATATAAATCTCATTTTAAGAATAAAATCCTAAAACTTTCAAAATAAATAATATCCCGTAATGATTCACTATGACAAATTTAGTATCAGAATATCTTTCGAGAAGAAACAAATTGGATTATATCACCATCTTTTATGTCATCCCATGAAAAAGGACACCGTTTGCGTCATTTACTACATCATTATATCATTTTTCAATATCATATTAACAATATTACAAAATTATTTTACTTGAAAGACTTCATTGTGTAAAAAGGAAAAAAGATGATAAAAAGTGTAAAAAAAATAAAATAAAAGTTTATGAGAATTTATGAATGATCTTATTGATATAAATAATAATAAAATATTATAATTATATAAATTATTTTCATTTTAATTATTAATATAATTATTATTATAATAGTTATTATTTTATTATTAAAATAATTATTAATATAATAATAATAATTGTTATTATTAATAAAATTAATTTTATTATTATTATTATTATTAAACTTAAGAAAATCGATTCTTATCTTTAATAATAATAATAAAAAAAAATAATATAATTTATTCTGTTATTATTATTATTATTATTATTATTATTATTATTAAATATGAGGATTGATTCTTATGTAATGAAAAATCAATTATCCATATATTGTACGTAAATAATAATTAATTTTTTATGTATTATACGTGAACGAGAATTGATTATATAAACTATATAGAATTGAGAATTAATTTTACATTTGACAAGAATCGATTCTAGTTATGGAGAAAATAATAAAAATTATGTGAATAACAAAAATGGTTATCGGTTTTCATTCGTTGATAATTGATTCTTATAAACGAAATCAATTCTCCATATATTTAAGACAAATCATAATCAATTTTAAATTCGCAGCTAATTGATTCTTTATGTACAAAAGTTTTTCCTCAACTATTGGTTCTTTGATGTCATGCACAGTTTTCACATGAAGATAGTAGGAAGTAAAAACATAAATATACATTGGATGAGCTATATTTCTAACGCTCATAAATCTTTTTAAATCACTTAAAAAACAGGTGATAGCTTTTTCTTCCGCGTGAATTATAAATAAGTATAAACAAACAATAAAACCCCAAATAATGTGGAGAGAGGGAAAAAAAATCAGTAATCCATTGTTTACATCATGGACATTATAAGATTTCACGGAGGCAATAAATTATGTTTTTACTTTCATTACTTGTTGAAATTCCTAACCTCTAACTACATGTCATTTCATCTCTAGATACAACAAAGGCTCATGGCTAAAATTTCAAGATTCCCGCGTAAAGAATGTAAGGATAGAAGAAAAAATTAGTAATCCAACCTGCTGCTTACAGTCTACAACAAAGAGAATAGTTCATGCTATCTATATAATTCAGTTTAAAAAACACGTTTGAGAAGGAGGCTGCATGTATTATCTTTGGATAGCCCTTCACCGTGAACTTTTCCAAAAGCTTTGACCTGCCAGACCTCAAGTGGAAGGTGCCAGTATCAGGCTCAATGCCCCACCAGCCATGCCGATGGTTCTGAATGTCATTGCATCCAGCCCCGGTCGTATTAACCAATAAACCTCGTTACCCAGATCATCCGGGTTAGAGCAATATTAGGACACTGAAAATCCGTGTCACCTGTACTGGTAGTTCATGTTTTACAATTTACTTGTATATATACAGTGTACGTTAAATGTGTAGGTACTAGTAAGGTTACAAGATGACATTACTGAAGTACAAATTGTCCCAAACCCTATAGATGACATTTTCAACATTCAATACTAAGCTTGGCTGGGCTTGCAGGATTCTAGAATAAAAAATAAAAAAAAATCAGGCCACGCTGAAAATTTTCCAGGGCCAAACTAGATTAGACTTTCATCAAATAATGATGCCCCCATATTTCTTATTCAGTTAGTGATCCATCTTCTTTTCCGGGCAGGTCGTTCTTGTTTGACTTCTGAATCTACTGGATTTTCACTTTTGGCCGAAGGCAGAGGTTCACTTTCTAACTTCTTGATGACGAGGGCCTCTTTTTCACTGGGCATTGGGAGCTTGAACCGCTCACTACGCTTCTTCAACCTCTCAACTGTATCAAGGTGCCGATCTCCCATTTCTTTTGTGTCAGCATCTTTATTCTCCATATCTGCAGAATCCCTTGCTTCAGCCGACAAGAGATGTTGGTGATTAACATCAATAGCTTTAGCAGGTTCATCCACAGGTTTCCCAGCTTCAGAAGACCCACCGTTAGTATTATCCTTATCAATGTCTTTAAACTTCAACGAAGAAGAGGACTTGTTGATACTGAAATCTCTTTCTTTATGGCTCGTCCAGCGTTCTAATTTAGAACGACCTCGGCGAGAATCTAGCTGTTCATCATCTGAGGAAATGTCTTCCCGCTGTTTTCTGGACAAGCGATGCCCTGGAATTTCGTGCTCGGATCGCTCTTCATCACCCGATCCTTTCAACCCCTTCACAAATAGAAACTAACAATTATAGAAAACAAGAGCATGCATCTAATGAATTATGATTTTTCCAACATCAGCAACAGGCAGAACAACACATTGAAGAGCACTCCACAATCACTTAATTGTTCAGGCGACGAAGATAGTCTACGGCAAAATTTAGTTAAAATAAGAATCAATTGTTCCTAGTGGACAAAGTCTCAACAAGATCCCTGCTACCCAAGGTTGCTAAGATCACGATATTCCTCACAAGATTGCATGATGTTACAAATTTGTATGCGGGCTTCGATACTAAATAAGACTCATAACCTGTTAGAATATATATAACTTTCCATGCTCCCTTGTGAATATAACTTTTCCACCCATTCTTATGAGAATAAAAATGAAGTATGATTAGAAGGATAGTCGTCTAATTTATTAATATTACTATTTGTTTTATAAATACGTGACTATAATTTTGTATTTTAGATAGAATCTGAATTCTGTTGACCTTACTACTACAATATTAACATATCTGTCAAATGTAATTAATTATGAAGTAAATTCAAAAGTGAATCTTAGATCCAATTGCTGCCAAATAAATAAAAGAACGAGATTTTTTAGGTAATATATGGATCAAAGGATACCACTGAATTTGTACAAAAAATCGAATGTTCAATAATCAATTTCAAGCAAGGTCATTTCATGGTATCTCCTAAGTAGTAAATTACATCCAGGTAACAACCTAGAATTAACACAATTGATTTGTTGATTCATGCCATAAGTTTCAACACGGCTTATGCCTATTACCAAGTGGCTAACATAATACACTTTTATCAACTCTAGTTACTTATGAAAAAAAAAGTTATAATATTGTCTGCTATAATAATAATATTGTTCAACAAGGTTTCTTCCAATCACCGGTTAGTATGATGATATTTCTAGTGAAAACGAATTACAACAGCAATCTCTCAACCAAACATCAAGATAAACAACAGGATAATACATAATATTTTAAAATAAAAGCTTGTTATAAACTGTCAAGATATTCTTAGGAATGGATCCCAATAGGCATTATGTAGTAAATCCCAATTAACACTAGGTGGATTCATTAAACCTCGACATACATTCTGTTTAAAGCCACCTAACTACTTTCCAGAAGTTGAGTCTTCAAAGTTGGCAATCCTACTCGGACAAAAAGGACAAAATCATGCCTTGAAAGGGCATATCTCCTTAATTTCTACCTCCTCCCAACATAAGAAAATGGGGAGAATAATGAAAATTCAAAATCTAGTTATTCATAGTCAAAAGTGTCATTGCATACATTATGTGGCTCGAACCAACTCTTTCTAATATTACTGATCACTCTGTATTGCAAACTTAACATAATTCTAGACCTTTGTGATTCTAAGAGTCACATATAGAGAATACTTAATTTTATGTAAAAAGATTGTTTTACTCTCCTTATAGTTTCACGTTTCACATGCAAGTGTGCATACCTTCTCATTGGTTGGACCACTTTGATTTTCTTGATTTCTCTTCGACATGCCTAAACTATTAAGGTCACTAACATCACGTTCTTTGCTTTTCCTTGAGCCTTCTCTATGCTTAACTTTTTGGTTCTCTGGAGCATTAGCAACACGATCACTCCGACTACTCGACCTTTCCTGCCTAGGTTGCCTTTCGTCAATATATTGATTTCCACGGGCAGAAGCATCATCACGCCCCTTACGATGTGGACTTTCATCCTGCATTCGGTCCCTTCTCTTCAATTGATCATTGTGCCGCATTGCTTCTCTGGATTGATATTCCTTCTCAGAAAGCTTATGTTCATCTTTAGCCCGAACATGGCCAACCCATGCTTTTTCTTCAGTTCCTCGTCCACTTCTTACAGAACTCCGTCCTTCTTCTCTTTCACGCTTGGGTAGAAGTTCTTCCTGGGACTGCTTCATCCGGTGCCAATCTTCCCTATCTCTCTGCCTATCACCCCTATCCCTCAGTCCCCATGCCTCATCTTTCTGCCTAGCAGCATATTGCTCATCAGGGTTATCTCTAGTTCTTTGCAGGTCATCCCTCTTTCGTGGATCCAATACTTCATCTCTTTCTCGCCTGCGCCGACTAGCATTTTCCCTGTAGCCATGCAGAATTTCTTCTTTGTCAATATGCTCCCTCCTAAGATATTCCTCATCCTTCCTCCTCTTCCCATGGTAATCCTCCACTGCTTCGTACCTAATCCTCAAGCCCTCATCTCTTTCCCTATGTCTCGAGTCTCTAGACCCAACATCCTTATCATATGAAACCCTGTAGCTACCATTATCCAACTGTTTTCTAGAATGAAGGCTACCTTCTTTATCATTTCTCTCATTTTCTCGAACCTTAGCCCTATCCCTCTTTCTAGGTTCATCATTTCTAACCCTTCTGCTATAAAGATCATCATCTCTCCGTGCCCAATCCATGTCAGAACTTTCTCTTTCTTTTTGTCCATCAAACCCATCAGTATTTGTGTGCAAAGGAGGAACTAAGCTAGAATGCCGTTCCTTGTAAGTGTATGGTCTCTCTCTACCTTTAAGTATCATGCGATTTTGTTCAGGTTCTTGCTTCGCATCATGCTCTCTTCTATAAAATCCATGCTCAATTTCATCGGGGTGCTGTCTGATGCTGCTCAGATGTGCTGATCGTGGATCCTGAACTACTTCTTCCTCAAAACCCTCCCTCCGCTTCTGGTTATCCCTGCTGCTTGCTGATCTTGCTTTGCTGTTATCACTACTTTTTGCAGCTTTTGATTCCTCCCATTCATCAACTTCGTCAAGCAAAGGTTGTTCAACTCGTGATGTTAATTTCTGTCTCTTTGCTACCCCATCCTCTACTGTATCAAATTTGTCTACTGTTTCCTCCTTCTCCAATTTGGAACTTTCATCAGCTGTCCCAGTGTCCTCATGTTCAGTATCTTTGTCGTCTACACTGGACTCCCTTACATCCTTAATGACAGGGGATGATACAAGTGTATTATGTCTACCTTCCATGCTTTCGACTGACCCTTCTTTTTTATTATCAGTTTCTAATTCTTGAATAGGAGTAATAGGAGGAGACTGACCACGCACTCTTCTTTGCATCTGCCTGTAAATACAAAAGTAAAAATATTCATGAATTGCACATGAAGATTACCAAGCCTATTTGGTCCAGACACCGGTACACTAAAAAATTCAATGAAAATAATAAACTGTTTCTAATAATATAGAAGATTGACAAGTACTGTAGCATGGAAAAAAAAACCTTAGGGCAAGGAAATGCATCTAAGTATCGAACAAAAGGGACAATATCTTGTGTTCTTTCATATAATTTAAAATATGAAAACTGCTTTTCTTCATTTATGGCATTTGAGTAGTAGCATAATTTTTAACTGACATTCAGCTTTCACTTTTTTTCCGAGAAAATGTTTCAATATTATTTAGGTCATGCTCATACCATGCAAAAATTTAACTGTTATATGATAGTAATTAATTCAAGGTGACTTCACTGTAAACTATTTTCAATCTCAGTCATTACCATGGTTTCCTGGTTTAGAAAATTTATTACCAATTAATTACCACAACCCTTGGAATGAATCAATCCTGGTATCTAGTTCTCTTCTAGTTCATGATCCATTAGCATACAAACCTAATTTTTTGAGAAAGACCTCAGTATGGATAAATTTCAAATAGTCTTAAACTTGATGAGACATACTGATTTATGGATGTCTATCAAATGAAAGGATATGAGAACAAACACGTAAAGCAAGCAGAGGGGAAATATAAGCATGCAGATAAAGCTTGACATTTCAAATTATTTTGTTTCAGAATATTATATCTGCAGTACCTTTCATCATGAGAGGAGCTAAAACTGCTACCATAAGACCGACAATTTTGGCCCCTTGAACCAGAGTACTCCATTGGCTCCTCTTGTGGGAATAACAATTTTTCATCCCCATTAGCCATGTTCACAGGACTGGAATGTTTAAATGGCATTCTTCTTCCTGGAAGCTCTTTCTTTCTACCATTATAATCCTGTGGAAAACCATCAAAATACTCGGGTGCCAAACGTGGAATTTCATCTCCAGTTACATGGTCTTCTCTAAAATCCTCTCTTTGGGCTTCCCCACCCTCAGGTGGATCTTGAGCAAATCCTGCAGAGGAATGATCATCTTCTGTATCCTGTAAAACAATCTGCACACAAAAATATTTAGCAATGTATATATTTCATATTAGAACTGTCAAAACAGATCCAAACCGGTGGACCGACAATGAGATAATTTTAGGATGGGTCAAAAACTAGAAGACAGTCCACCTACAACAGGGCCCACAGGGGTGTTGAACCCATGGTGAGCCAGTCTGACCCACCAACCCACCTAAAAAAAATCTACCTACTTGCAAAGATCATGTTAAATTAAAACTTTAATACTTTAATCAATTATGTACTATCTATCGTTAGAATAATTGGAAAACTTGGAGTTGATGGACAAAGAAAATGTTAAAAGTTTGAAAACTTGGAATTGATAAGGGTTGAGGAGTGAGTTGGTGTGGCATTTTTAACTCTTTAATTCATTATGCATTAAGTATTATGTGGGATCTTTAATTTTTAATCATGGAATCTTAATTTTCATATACAATGTTTTCTTAAATATATAAAAAAAATTAGAAAATGGAATTTTATTTTAAATAATTGATTAATTTTAGGACTGACATGTTTAAGTTTAGCCCATCAACTATGATGGGTCGGCTGAGCTAATATTTGTTCAGATTAAATGCTGAGTTGGACCAGGTCAGGCCGTTTAAAGGGGTTAGCCCATTTTGATAGCTATATACTGTAAAAAAGGTTTATCCACATAACACATGCTTATATGACAATCATTAAATACCTCAATGATTGCATCTGAATCACGGATTCGGGGAGGACGGGTATCAATGGAAGGAAGCCGGTCCCCATAACCACCTTCCACTTGTATTGCTCTACCAGTTGGCTGTAGGAAATAAAATTACGAGTCAAGAGACAGAATTAGAAAATAAAGGGAAAATTATCTACAACAGACATAATGTCGACCAGCAAAAACCAGCCCAAGAATATACAAAAAGCAGGTAATATGAGATAAATTGCAATAAACACATGTAGTTTTGTTAATAATCTTTTACACAACAAAAATGTTTAGACAAATACATACTAGTGGTGGTCGAATACGTCCAGTCCCAGAACCTTTCATAACATCACTTTGTCCGACATTGGATTTTAGAGAATTTGCATTTTCAACAGGAACATCATGTACACCAGTAGCTGCAGCTAATTCCGGGGGTAAGTCGGGATCATACTCCTGGAATGAAATCAAATAGATGATTTAGTTGATAAAATAATCAGTACAAAAACACCTTCGGAATTTGACAAGGAAAGGGAACTACATTTAAAATACAAAAGTTCATCTACCTGCTCAGTTCGACCACTCTCATAAACACGGATCTTGCTTTGCATTGTAGACTCCAATCGTAGTTGCTCCTAAAAGCAAAATTAAAGGTTTCTCAATGTACACTAATTTGAGGAGAACGTTCGAAGTGTGTTAATAATTTTACCAGCTGTTTGCAATAATCTTTCCAGCTCTCTTCATTCAAACCAAAGTTGAAAAAATCTGATGTATCAACATTAGGATATTTCCATGGTTTCTCCTCAAAATTCTCAATATCAACATCAAATATAGTCCTGAAAACAATTGGCACGATATAAGCAATGACTAGGAGACAAATAAATAAGATTTAGCTAAAATGTTAAAATAATGGGTTGGACTGTGCAATGTCAAAGTCCATGCATCAAGATTTATTCAACAGTAAGGCAGTTATTATTAGAGAAAAAGATTATCCTAAAGAATGTGCACTGCTACATTAGTAAACTGTAGGAGTGAGCAATTATATTTATATAACATGAAGGAGATAAACCACAAAAGAAAAGAAAAGAATAACAGGAGGTTGGAAATATAGAGAGAGAGATAAATGTAATTCAGAATTAAGAAAGTTGATGTGTCACTAATAAGATAAGGATTATAGGGAATAGTTAAATTCGTTATTATTTCTCTTGTAAATGTAAGATGTAGTAATACTTTTGTGTGTATTACATTACATATTAATACCATGGTACACTCAAGAAATTCATGAATCCTGTCTAGTCATGTTTTTAATATTGTAGTCCATTTTCAGTTCAAGTCAATAATAACATTCCAAGAAAAGCAATCAACAGACTTCACCATACAATTCTTTTTTCTTTTACAAAATAACATGCACATTTTATATTGTTAAATAAAAGTCGAAGGTTTGTATGGGAACAAATATAAAAGTTCTCTGAAGGTAGCCTCATTCCACTCATTAATGTGTTTAGGATTCTAGACAATCGATTTCTCTGCATTTCATTCTCTCATAGATTATAGTATTGGAAACAATGTAAATAGCCACCTAGTTATCATACAACATTCTCATTTATTGAATTTCACAAAATTTCAGCTCTTATTGGATTTGATTGATCCATATACTTTAACAAGTGAGAGGTATCATTGCTCTATACTTAGTTTCAACATTAGATTGAGCAACCACATTATATTTCTTGCTTTTCCAAAAATTAATATTGCTCTTAATGAAAACAAAATATCCTAGTAGTGGATTGTCTATCTATAGGAGATCCTATCTAATCAACATCATAATAACAAAACATATGAGTATATCCCTTGTCTTCATATAGCAACCCTTGTACTAGAGCCCTTTTGAGGTATCTTAAAATGTGAATAACGACATTCCAATAATAAAGGCATCTTTCCAACATCATTCTCTGTAACGATTATCATCAAACTATACAATTGAGGGAACACATTTCACTAAATAATCTGCTTTTTAGCCCAAAGATTTGAACAATGTGACTAAGTTTTCCAAACTAGGCACATGGAGATTAATTGATAGAGACAGATGCAATTTACAAACCAAACCAAACTCCCCTTCAGCATCAAATTTCAGAGGTTGCTATGTAAACTTTCTCCTCTAGATCATGATGAAGAAAAACATTCTTCATATTCAATTGATGAAGAGGTCAATGACTCAAGTCTGCGGTGAGGGAGATGTGCGGAGATGTGTGCCTGGTTGGGTTTTCTTTTTCTAGCTGTCAGGTTTAGGTTGGGCTGCTAACCAACCTTTTTTTCTTTTTTTGTCCTACTAGTGGGTCGGGTCTCCTATAAACCCAAAAGAAAACCCACAAACACAACAAAACATCATATTAAAAGCAGAAACTCTAGGTTAATACTGGGTTAGGTGGGGCCGCGCAAACTTGACACTTCTTCTTTCACCTATCAACACAAGTTGTGCGGCTGTGGGAGCAAGATTTTCACCATGACCGCTCCACGACAGCCAAAGGGCCACCATGCAAAACCTACTTCACCACTGCCATACCGTAACAACTGGCAAAAATCCACTTCTAATATCCTCCATGGTGACACCATTGTTGTCTCCCAATAACACTGGTTGGAATTTATTGACTGATTGGAATTTGATCCCAAACATGATCAAAATCTAAGTTCATGCCGTGAAATCATAACCATATTGAACTTATCCAACTTCTTCTTAATCTCATTCAAAGAATCAACTCTCAAAAAACATCCTCAACTCTTCATCAACTGATTAAGCTTCAACAATGAAAGTGATCCTGCCATGATCTGTTTTTTGAGAGAGGCCAGTCTATGGACAAAATCATAAAGGCATTGAACATTATTATCAATAAATTTCTTAGTTTTTTTCCCAAAAGGAGTTGCAAGTCTTGAATGACTTGAGAGTTTCCAATATTTTGGGTTCCACATACTGCCACAGTAGAGCACAAAGCTAAATATCAATTTTCTTCTACTGTTCAACTCTGTTTGACAGTACTTATTCACATCTTCTAAGTGATCATGGATGTCTTGTAATTGTACGAGTTCCAAAAAAGGTAACAGGTCTAGAAGACATTATAAATGAAGATTTGAGTGACAACAAATTTTAGGCAAGGACTGACAAAGACAGCCCAAGAGAGAGAGTAAGCCAGACCAAAACCAAATACCAAGCAAAGGCAACGAGAGATAAAGTGAGATGAAGAGATCCTGAGAGAGGGAGTTAGTACCTCAACCAAAGCTAGAAACCACAATGAACCCTATGGAGGTAGCGCGTTGCTCCTGCAAGCAAAAAGCATGGCTGCAATGGACAAAGAAGTTGCATGGGAAGATCCAAGGGTAGTGACTTAGTGGGTTGGTTGCACATTGCGAGACACACTAGATCTGGGACACGTTGGAGGAAACGACGGTAGTTGGTGACAGTAGGCGACAAAACAAGGTTAAAAAAAAAAAAAGATGACGGTCGACGACAGACAATAGTGACCAATGGTATATGGTGACAAAGGAAAACTACATTCTCATTGGACAGAACAAACAGAGTAGGATCGACCCACTCTAATACCAACAAAGACTGAAAATATGAGGAAAACAGCTTAAGAGCTTGATTATCTCTTAGTTAATCCATATATTATAGGAAGGATTACACCAGAATACAAAGAGTGTCGAAGCAAAAGGCTATACCTAGGTGTCAGATGCTAATAAGCAAAAATTAGCCATTAGAGAAGGCAAGTTAACATATCTTAGCAAGTTAAGCTATACTAACAAGATAAACAATTCTACAGAATTAATTAATTATCTTTTTAATTAAAAAAGCTTTCTCAAAAAGTTTATAGAAAAAAAGAGAAAAAAAGTGACTATTCCCCAAACATAAGCTACTCTAAATCACTTCAAATTTAGGGTCTAATACAACTATAAAAAAATGAAATTTAGTTCAGGAAAATTAAAAATTACTTGTGAGAAGGAAGTGTGAATTCCAATCCACCACCAAAACCACGCCCTGCAGTACCGCTGCCCCAGCCAGGTACTCCAGTACCACGCCCTGCAGCAGGTCCTTTTAGTCCAGGTGGTCTCCAGTCCCCTCTGCCTCGACCAGCCATGGTAGCGAGTGGTCGAATCTGACCAGGAGGCCCTCCTGGAGCAGAAGTCGTAGCTCCAGGCATTAATGCTGCACCAGGCCTAACATACTGATACTGTGCAACAATAATACAATAATTAGATTATCTATTTCAATGAGCAACAGTTTATCATCTATTCATAAAAAACCAAGAACTATCATCATATCAACAACAGATGAAAGATTCAAATGTCTTGAAAAAATACAGGCTAGGTTCTTCCCTTCATTAAAAAATTTAGCTGAGACAAAATTAATCTCAGTAAAATAGCATACAAGAAAAAACAATCCCACTTAATAAGATCAAAGAACTTCACTGAAAAGGCCAGTTCAATTCAACTGACAGCAATCCCCCTTTATGGGTAATTTGTGAAGCCAGAATTTTCACCAGGGCTTGTGCCATGCCCTAGCCCTTGATTGCAGTCGCATCCCCTTCCATTAATTTTGTTTTAGTGATTTACCAAAAATTCAGCATCCAGACAAAACTATTTTCTCTGATTACAGATATTCAATGACTAAGATTAACACAGAAGTCAAGTTTTGTTTAAAAGATCTAAAGATGAAAGAAATACATAAGCGTTAAATTTTAACATGGCCCCACCAGAATAGTTCACAACCAAAATGGTGGTCAAGGTTCCAAGTGTAGATACCAAACAAATTTTACCCACACCAAAAGAATATTATCATTGCACAAACATTTGACTAGCTCATCCAGTCTTTTGAACCCAAGCTTCAACTAGTACACAACAAACTTAGTACAAAGTGCATGACCACATGCACAAAATAGTAAATCATATACAAAAATCGATGATGAAGCCCAGCTAAATAAGTTAATGACAGAAAGAAGCACAAATTATTTTCCTAAACAAAAGACAATTAAATTAGGCAAATTAACTAGAATCACACTCACATCTCATCTCACAGGGAATCAGTAAATATTTCAACACATGGACATCCAGCTTTCCATGATCACATCACTTTCAACGTAGATTAATCCTATTTGTCATAGTCATTCAACCTTTTCCTTTTTTTCTTTCTTCCTTTTTCAACTTTTGGTGAAAAATGTGTATTTTTTAAACATAAAGCCAAGTAATTCAATTGAAAATCATCAAAATTCATTTGACATATAAAATAATCTCCTACAGCAATCAGTGCAATTACAACTACAATTCTACAAACTTCAAACACACAATTTAGAACTTCAATCCACACTACAGTGCCCCCGAACACCAGCAATACTCTTTCAATCAAAACTGACCTTAAACTGGGAATGAAATGAGTGGTATCCATGATTGCTATACCCAATTTTCGGCGCCACAGCACCGCCGGCCTTGGCCAATTCGGTGGCGGCATCCTTCCTCTCACCGTCCCCAGCGGCCAGGGCAGCACTCTCGCCCCACTCCTGCTCCTCCACACCCTGATTCGGATCACCACCAGCCACAATCACAAGCTCTTCATCCCCATCCTCTTCTTCCTCATCACCATCCACCATCCCTCCACGTTCCATGGCCATGTGGTTGTTCTCATTCAACACTATCTTCAAATCATCCTCGCTATCGCTTTCCCAATCATCGCCCTCCCCGCCTTCCTCAGCCGGCGCCTCGCCGCCCAGGCCCGGAATAACCGGCTCCGAGCCGTCGCCCGCGTCCTCCTCCTCCTCCTCGATGTCGAATTTCACGTCTCTGTCGATCGGATCGACCCCCGCATCGGCGGCGGCGAGGTTTGAATCCGGCGGAGGTTCCGCGTCAGGAATTTTAGGCGGTTCCTCGGCAGCGGAGACTGTCGGTTCGTTCGGGTCGGGGAGAGGTAGCTGGTTGGATGAAGGGGAAATACGGTGGGACGCATCGCAGGGGATCTGTGCGGCGTTTTGATTGAGGTCGAGATCGATGGAAGGGGACGCAGGAGAAGATTGGTGGGGTTGGGGCGCAGAGGATGAGGGTGAAGCGAAGGGACGGAGAACGTCAGTGTATAAATCTCCGAACTCGTCATCGTCTTCCATTGGGTGAGGAGGAGTTTGAAACAGAGAGATACAGCGAGCGATAGAAAGTGTGTGCGTCTAATGTTAAAGAGAGGGTTTTGTAGGTTTGGCAACTGATGCCACAGCTTCGGTGTTCTATGGACTCAGCTTCTTGTTTGCCTAGGTTAAACCACCATTATAGTTCTTTCAAAATTACCTTAATGCACTAACTGCAATTTTAGTTATAGAATAAGACAGCAAATTATTACCATACCTTAATTTAATCTCTTTTTTTTTCTAATAATTATGAAATGTGGTGGCAGAGGGTAATTTTCTTCCTGTTTTTTATCTATATTCAGTCTAATTATTGATCAAAATATTTGAAATTATAATTTTAATCCTTTTTTAGTGTCTGATTAACGATTTTGTTTATCTGATCTATTATTATACTCTATTATTTATCATATATTAAATTATATATATATATATATATATATATATATATATATATATATTAAACAAATTGTTACTAGAAGATATCACATCACATTCCTTTATATTAACTCTTACTAAAAACTCACTATGTTGATTCAAATTCCCCTTAAATAGTACTTCTTTGTTTTTATTTATAAAAAATAATAAGAAAACATATTTTATTTTAAGAATCAAATAATTAATAAAATTATTTTAGAGTTAGGTATTGATCTATAATCTCTTAATTAAAAAGATTTAGTTTTCATTTAATGATTATTTGTTTAAATTTATATGAATGCATATTTAGTTATTTTTTATCACTAAATTAATATTTTTCTATACTTTTTCTTGTTGATTATATAAAATTAAATCTTAAAAAAGCATTAACAATGGAAATAAAAATTATCATCTAAAATATATACAAGAGTTTGTGAATAAACTAGTTTGATGATGTAAAGTTAATGGGTTAAGATAAATTTAAAACAAAGTACTAAAAAACACTAAATTCATGGAATAATATTGTTAGTAAAATGAAAAAACTTCTACGCACAAATTAGGTTTGATGAGAGAAGTTATAATACAATTATATAATTATATAATATGCAAGTTAGTTATAGATTATATGTACATAAAAAAAGTCTTGTTCATTTAATAACATCATTTACTAATAAAATAATAATTTTTAATTAATTTTATTTAAAATTAATTACTATATAAATATAATATTAATAAATAGGATTGTATAATAGAGTGATGTTAAAACATCACTACTTTTATGTATAAGGTTTTAGATTATAACTATTATTGGATGACATCGTAAATATGAGATGAATAACGTATATAATCGGATTAAATATTTGATTAGCCAATAAATATGTATAGAGTTTTATGTTGAACTTGATTTTTGTCCAATGTCCATTAGTTCAAAGAGATTCAATGATCAACTTACATCAAACTAAGATAATTGAACATCCACCATTTTAGTGTAATCTAAATAACATACATTTTAAATTATAAAAGATTTTATCACCTATAACTTTTTATGTATCCAATATTAATGATTTTTTTTCTTGTGCTTTAGTGTCAAACATTACAATTTCCAAGACTACACATTACTGTAATTGTTGTAACTTATCAATGATAAAAGAAAGCTAGCATATTAACTCAAATTAAAAAGCATACTAATACTACCACTAACACAAAGTTTTGTCCAAGTTAAAAAGTGGAAAATGAAAGAAGAAAAAGTTTTATGCAAGAGCAACAAAGTCAACTAGAATTAGAAAATTTTGTTCTATGTTAACAAAAAAAACCACCATGAAATATGAAAATTTGTCCTATCCAAAACATACATCAACACATGTCATATGTCACAATTATTATTATTACTAATGTATAAAGAAGGCACAATAGGTCAACTCGTATCATTTTTATCTATCTCACCTCTAATTCACAAAAAACATAATGAGATAGATTGACCCATCATAGTCAAGATGAGTTATAGACCCTAGTTCGTTACGTCAACTTGCAATAATTTTTTTTTATATAAAATTTGTATATTTCTTTTTAAATATATATATTTAATTATATGAATAATTTTTTATTTATTAATTAATACTTTTATTAAATAAATTGAAAAAATATTATACTTATATGTCAAAATAACTAATTATAATCAATAATTTAAATTTAATTAATTAGTTTTTATAATGAAATTATAATATTATAATATATTTATATATTTTAATAACATAATGCAAAAAATATATAATATTTTTAAATATAATCATTTTTTTATTTTAATATATAAATATATTTTTTAAATGGGTTAGCGAGTCAACTCGTCTCATCCCTTACCTGTTAAAACAAATTAACAAACTAAAATCACAAACTCGTTTCACCATTTTTTAGATGGGTTGGTAGACCGACCCATTTTATCATTTTTACTAACATGGTATATATAAACACAAGATAAAATATTATTGAAGAAATAGTAAAAGTAATATAATTAAGTGTATTTAATGTATGTTGAGATATGTTGTTTATATATCTTTTAGTCTGTTAGCATTATTTTTCAATGTTCATTAGACTAGGGTTAAGGGTCTATATCCTCTCTATTGTACCCCTTTTTTCTATAACTACAATGTATCAGTGTCTTTGGTCACTGCATCAAACCTTAAATAAGTTTTCTCAAGTTGGATCAGAGCGGGTAAGATTTTGCACTGATTTTCAGTCGCCTTTGTCAGCTTCGACCGCTATTAGTCGTCTTTTAGTGACCGAAATCAAGGTCGACCATCTCCATCTGACTCGTCGGCATCCTTCGAGTCCAGTGGTGCCCTTAGTTTTTTATTTGAGAATTGTGTGTGAAAGTCTCGTGGGTAACCCTATTCGTTGACTTTATTCATCTTTTCTGGTTCAGATGACCTCATCCTCTACCTTCACCTTCTCTGCTACTCCCACCATAACTAGTGTCAGACTCAACTGGAAAAATTACTTATCTTGGTCTGCTTCAGTTGAGTTGTGGTTTCTCGGTCATGGGCATCACGATCATTTAGAGAAGGATGTAGACTTTATTTCCACTGTAAAAATGTCTCAGTGGGAGAAAATAGACTTCCAACTTTGTGCAATCTTATGGCAATCTGTGGAACCGGATGTTCTTGACTTCACAGGTCATTCAAAACCTATTCTTCATTTTGGAAAAAGGTTCAAGACATTTTTGCTAATGATATTCAACGTCTTTTTGATGCAACTCAAAGAGTGATGTCACTTAAGCAGACCAATCACGACATGATGACTCACATTGCAAAAGTTAGGGTTGCTATGTGTTGAATATTTGGCAAGCGTAACAAAATTATTCAATCGCAGTATAATATTTCAATTAAATAAAAGTCGATCCCACGAGGAACGGTTTCAATGAAAATTCCAAATCATATGCTTACTAAGTATATTAAAACAAAATTGAGTTTACATAAAGATTGAGATTGAAATTAAATGACAAAGAACTGTAAATTACATTTAGAAAATATCAAATAAAGAACTTAGGATTGACTTCCTTCCTTTTCCCTCTTTTGCATAATGGCTAGGTCAAATTAAGAACATCAATTAACCTATCAATGTTGGTGTCACCTATTCAAATCATTCACTTTGATTCCTCGCATGTGAAATTCATAAGAAAATCTTATAAACGTCGATTTCTCACACAGTTAAAAGATTTTCCAGCATTAGGTTTAGGGTGTTAAGCACTTGATACATTCATTCCATTCTTGGTAATTAACATAACAAATATTCTTACCTCATCTAGGGTTTCAAGATATATTTTCCAATCATATCTCAAACATCAAGAATAAATCATTCCAAGGCACAAAAGATAAGAATAACAAAAACAAAAAAATAGATTAATATCTCAAAATATCACCATGATACAAAAGAGTTCCAAGGAAGTGCACTCAATCCTAAGAGAATGAAGTTAGCTACTCATGATGGTCATTATAATCAGTGGCGAATCTTGACCATTGATCTTGGGAGACCAAATAATATATTATTAATAAATAATAAATAAATATAAAAGGAAGAAAGAAGATGAAATGGTGAAAAGATAAAATTGTAGATATATAATTAAATATATTAAATGATCATTAAGTTTGAGGGGAACAAAATCATAAATTATATGAGAGTTACAAAATTGAGGAGGAGCTTGAGAAGATAAAATTGTAAATATACACGTAAATATATTAAATGTTCATTAAGTTTAGGGGGCCAAAATTATAAATTACATGGGAGTTACAAAACTTTAGAGAGGTCACAGCTTCCTCAGCTCTCAAGAAGATCCGCCACTGATTACAATGTTCTAAATGAGGAAGAATTGAAGAATCCTTGAAGAACAGAACAACAATCTCGCCTCTTCTCCAAAAACCTAAAATTTTTTCAAAATGCGTCTTATCTTTTTTATAGGAAATTTTGGGTCTGGTCTTGCATCATTTGATCAAGCGATCCATTATTCGCTTGAGCGAAAAACAGTAACTTTCGCTCAAGCGATAAATGTTCGCTTGAGCGAGTATAAACCCGAAAGCTTTGTTGTATTTACGCTCAAGCGAGAGTAGATGTTGCTTGAGCGAGTGCACACCCGAAAGGTTTGTCGTCTTTTCGCTCAAGCGAGAATGGAAGGTGCTTGAGCGAGTGAACTCCCGAGAACTTTAATGTATATTCGCTCAAGCGAGCGTAGATGGCGCTCGAGTGAATTTCCAGTAGAAAATCTTTTTCTTTCTTTTGTTTTTCTTCAATTATCTTCACAATTATGATCTTTGCTCTTGTATCAAGGTATTCTACCAATTCATCCTACATTAGAAGAAAAATAGATTAAAATCAATATAATTTAAGTGGTTACATAACAATTAAGAATATAATTATATTAACTTTTACCACTTAACACTATGGAAGAATTAAAAAGGTTTCTTGTTGCAAATACCTTAGAGGAGGTAAATACCAAACTTGATAAGCTATATATGGTTCTAATTTTAAGAAGTTTGCATTCTGACTTTGATCACGTGCGTGATCAAATCCTAGCCGCCGAT